TTCTTTGATTAGCATGAATGACAGGCAGCATGTTTATTCGGTTGCTGTCTCTTTAACACGAACCCACGCGAATCTAAAACACTGTCACACGCTTGTTTTCGGTCTCATCTGTTTACGCTCACTGAAGACAAACAGCTGTGTTTACGAGGAACATGTGGAAATGCACAGGGTATAACTACTGCCACCGCAAAAATTGTTCATTTACCTAAAACATTTTTTTTGTTTATTCAACCGGCCTACAAAAAATAGCTTATGAATCTCTTGTTATGCTATATTATCACCTAATATTGGTATCAATTTCTGCCAACTTGTTTTCTTCTAATTAGGACTGGTTTTGTGTTTATTCATAAAAACACATTTTTTGTAGGCCTCATTAATCTGAGTTTACGTACTTCAGCTTTTGAGTGAAAAAAAGCATTATTTGTGTATAATTGTCAATATTAAATAAAATATGAAAAATTGCACTGTTTTTCACACTAGCATGCTCTAATATTTAACCAAGAAATAAAAAAATGGATCAAAAATGACCGGCCTACAAAAAACAGCAATCAATCTTTTTTTGGCATAATGCTTTTTTCACTCAAAAAGACTAGAATTTTTGTACAACCTACATTTTTTGTATTTAATTTTTTCCTCTGCGACACTTTTTCGTATTGTGTTGACCGCAAAATATAAAACGAATAGTATCTTCACAAGACGAATACAATGTTTGTGCAGACTACATACTCTCTCTTTAGTAGTGGAAATTTAAATGTGAGATTCTGGAGATCTAAGTTTAGCGGGATGGGTCGGGAAGGAAATTATTCCAAGCAGACAGCTGGTGAACAGCGAGTGAATATAATAATATATATTGTTCCTCAGAGCGAGACGGTGGTGTCCGGCGCGAGCCTCGGCCTGCAGCCCTACGACCTCAGCATCGACGTCTACAGCCGCTTCATCTACTGGACCAGCGAAGTGACCAACGTCATCAACGTCACGCGCATCGACGGGTCACGGGTCGGCGTGGTGCTGCGCGGAGAACACGACAAACCCCGCGCCATCGTGGTCAATCCGGAGCGAGGGTGAGAGCACTGGAAACATCTCAAACACGAGTGGCTGTTTATCAGTCTGCGTCTGTAGAGTTCAGCTCCAGTCCATGCCTTTAAAGAGTTGAATCTCTTACATCCACCAGACTTTACAGCTGTATTCCTCTCATGTTCTGAAGGCTTGCTCAGATCTAGTGCTGGGGAGTAACTAGTTACATGTAACGGAGCTACGGAATTTAATTACAAAATAAATGTAATCAGTTACAGTTACTGAGAAAAAATGTGTAATTAAATTAGTTACTTCTGAAAATATTCATACACATACAGATTTAATTTAATTTAATTCATTTAAATTTCAAAACATTAGAAAAGTAATCAAATGTAATCAGTTACATTAATAAAGTAATTGAAATAGTTACACTACTTGCTACATTTTAAATAGAGTAACTTGTAATCTGTAACTGTTTCAAAGTAACCTTCCCAGCACTGTTCATATTTCATTCACACTGAATTATACATTTATTGCCTAAAAATATGGTGAAAATGTTTTTCTGTCTGTTGACATTATTTACTTACTCATGATGTTAAGAGAAATCCAAAATCTCCTCTGAAAACCTTTAACTGTAATATGATCAAATCAAACCAGCATTTTGAACCTGACTTTATCCAGTGTTGAGAAATGTATGCAAATGAGTGCATATTTACTTAGATAATGCCTTATTTGCATATTCAAACATACTGTTTGAGAAACGTGTAACACAGAGTTGTTGGCGTCTGCTCCGCAGGTACATGTACTTCACCAATCTGCAGGAGCGTTCTCCAAAGATCGAGCGCGCCGCTCTGGACGGGACGGAGCGCGAGGTGCTGTTCTTCAGTAATCTGGGCAAGCCGGTCGCTCTGGCCGTCGACAACGAGCTGGGAAAACTCTTCTGGGTCGACATGGACCTGAGGCGCATCGAGAGCAGCGACCTGTCCGGTGAGATCCTGGGGTCAAAGGTCACGCACTGACCAGCTGATCATGTGATCTACAGTCCTCTCTGTCAGCATGCCTAATCGATTTCAAAATCCCCCGTCCAATGAGTGCTTTCCTTGGCCCCGCCCCTCAGTCCTGACCACGCCCCTCTCATTTCATAAACACAGCAGTTCACCGTAGTGCTGTACAAATAAAATCAAAACCAGGAGAAAGAATAATATCAATAAAATCCAACAATAATTTAAAGATTTCAATTGAGTTTTTTTTACTTTTTATTTTCAGATATAATATGTGAAACAAACCATACTGTATACATAACATTACAAGCATGATTTTTCTTTTACAAAAGCAAAACTATATAACACAAGGGAGAGAAACACATGCAGCTCAGAGATCATCTATTTAGCTGTTTTAATCATTAATATAAAATCTAAAAACAAAGCATGCATTGCCGTTATTTTGCAGTAAGAGAAGGTAAACGCTCCAGAAAAGATTTGGGTGATTTCCTAACATTGAAAAGGATTTTCTCTCAGTTTAGTTTTAAACTCGTGGACAGAATGTGAAGTGTTCACAGCTAAAGGACGGCTGCTCCATAGCCTCGGCTCAGCTGTTGTAAACGCACGATCTCCTCTAGCCTTCAGTCGTGATCTGATTCTGAGACGGAGAGTTTTCTGTGGATCTCAGACAGATAGGAGGGTGCCAGATCATTTAAGGACTTAAAAACAACCTTGACTTCACTTCTGTCTTAATATGTTGATCAAATTTTAGGGAGGTATCTAAGAGGACTCCCAAATTTGTCACGTTGGTTTAATGAAGGAGTTGAAATATCCCCAGATTACGGTTTACATTAGCCGTATTCACCTGAGGCACAAATACAGTAACTTCTGTTTTATTTTTATTCGTTATTTGACGGGACAATGGACAGTCAAAAAAACTGCCCCAGAATTAGCTACAGAGCTAAATTTCATCTGCGGTCACTGGGCAGGAGAATACCGAAGCCGATTAGGTAACAAAACCATCATAATACCATGTACAATAACCCCCCCCCCATAATTTAAAAGCCACATTTCTACAAAATATCCCCTTTAAATACTACAAAATATCACCCTCCAAAAAATTATATATATATATAATTATATAAATTTTACATGCTAATCATGCTAGAAACATGTTATCAACATCTATCGAATCTATATTTTCAGCTACTTTCAGGCTAGGTTTTCTCAAGCCAACCTAAAGTTTCTTGATGAACTTTTTTATCTAGTTGGTCAATTATTTCAGTTATTAACAGCTCTTACAGAAAATGACTAATATTCGCTGCACAGTCACCTCTTGACAAAGCTCTCGTTTGTCTTATATTTTCAGTATAAGAAGAAACAAACTCTTTCAAGGGTGAAGCTGCAAGATTATTAACAATTTTGTACATTAAACAACAATTGTAGAACACAACTAAATTGTCAAAAGTAAAAAAAAAAAAAAGTACGTACTCATAATCAAACAATGAGGATATCTGTTGGGTTTCTTGTCAAATGCTTTTAAAGCACGTTTATACAAAGTATATAAAGGTCTAAGAGTTTTACTAGAATTTAAGCATAGAAAAGATGTAAAGACATCCAAGATCTAATGCAAGCAGATTTCCTAAGCCTTTCTCTTTCTCTCAAACATATTTTATTGGATTGTACTGTGTTTATTCAGAGCTGTGTCTAACTGGTTTATTTAAAAATGTATCACCTGAATGTATTTTAGAATTTTTGTCTAGTGTGCATCTGAAATGTAACCTTTTGTTAACTGTATACCTTGTGTACTTTATTCAGAGATCGCCCTGAAAATAGCCTTGATGCTGGCGGTACAAACTGAATAAATGAATAAATAATTCTCTTGCTGTCCTCCAGGAGCCAATCGCATCGTGATCGAGGACTCCAACATCCTGCAGCCGGTGGGTCTGACGGTGTTTGGGAACTTCCTGTACTGGATCGACCGGCAGCAGCAGATGATCGAGCGCATCGATAAGATCACGCGCGAGGGACGCACCAAGATCCAGGCGCGCATCGCCTCTCTGAGCGACATCCACGCCGTCCACGAGCTGCGCATGGAGGAGTACAGTAAGCGTCTCGCTGAGCATCATGGGAAGGGGTTCAACCGATCACAAATCTCACGGTTCGGATCATATCACGGTTTCTGAACCACGGATCGGATTTCGGATCAGCAAGATTAAGCCACTTAATAATGAGAAGCATTAAATTAAGTACTCAAGTGCTGATGCTTTTATTTTTTAAGTAATACCAAATAGAATAGGTACAGAAATGTAATAATTAAGTGTAACATAACACTGCATGGTATTCACTGTATAATTTATAGGCTGCTGCCCCTTTAAGAGCTGATGCACAGATCCAATATAATGAGACGCATCCGATTTCTTTCTCAGCTGTTCACTAAAGACATAACCGACTGCTTTTACCAGAGTGATTGTTGAGATCGGTGCACATGCATCTGTTCAAAGGCAATTAGTGAAAGAGATATGAATGAGTTCCTTTTGTACAAATAATAAACTTTCACTGTTTACATTTTGCAATTATTCTGCGGATCACATGCGTGCCGAACCGTGGGGCTTGATTCGAACGGATCAGCTACGATCCGTTCAGTCACTAATCATGGGTAGAGCGAAGATAAAACGATGCAGAACCGATTTGTGGATGGATTCTGAGCTTATATTTTAACAGCAGATGGCGCTCTACTCTAGTTTTTATCCGCACACTCAAACGCTCATGAAGAATGCTTTTATGATGCCAGATGAATGTAAACAGCCCACTGTGAACTCCCTTGTGATTCGCTTTAACCTTTTCGAATCTTATGAATGATTATTTTCTCGATTCGTGATGCATGGATGTATTTTCCCAGTGGTAGCAGAGCGTCTGTGGGGCGTGTGTTGATGTGTGTGTGTGTGTGTGTGTCTGCAGATAAACACCCCTGCACGTCTGATAACGGCGGCTGCTCGCACATCATGACTGGTTTTGTGATGCAGGCTCTCATATGTCCATCATTAACCGCTGGCTGTTGTCGTCCTCAGAGCCGCCCACGTGTTCTCCGGAGCAGTTCTCCTGTGTGTCCGGCGAGGTGGACTGTATCCCGCAGGCCTGGCGCTGCGACGGCTTCGCTGAGTGTGACGACAGCAGCGACGAGCGAGACTGTCCCGTCTGCTCCGATGAGGAGTTCCAGTGCGACAGCAAGCAGTGCGTGGACTTTTCTCTGCGCTGCAACGGAGAAATCAACTGCCAGGACCGGTCCGATGAGAACAAATGTGAAGGTAACCATCGCCAGCCGATCCTCGCGGTCTGAGAGCAACTTCCTGCCTGATTCACCCACACTTCCTGTCTGTCTCTGCAGTTCTCTGTCCCATGGATCAGTTCACCTGCGCCAATGGCCAGTGCATCGGGCGGCACAAGAAGTGTGACCACAACACGGACTGCACAGACAACTCGGACGAGATCGGCTGCTGTATGTGTCTCAGAGCTTCTTAATTCACACTTCCATAAATGAAGGCCTTGAAAGGTCTTAAATCAGAGCAGATAGTCTTAAATAACACTTTACTTAAAGCTTTTATGTATAACGCATTATAAAGGGTTATTAAGGGGTATAATGCATTATAATTATTCATAATGTGCTTTGTAATACATTGTATCTTGTCGTAAATAATTATAACAGAATTTAAAATGCATAGTGTAACAATGAACTGTTATAATGTATTAACTCTAGTGACCGTTATTCATGAGATTCTACAGTGCATTATTAGGAGCATTACAAGACATAATTAATGCATTAAAACTACTGTTGTAATGCATTATACATACGTGCTTGAAGTAGCGTGTTACTGTGATTTCCATATTCACTGCAAAAATGATTTTCTTAGTATTTCTGTCTTGTTTTCTAGTATAAATATAAACATTCTTGAATCAAGATGCATTTACTGGACAAGATTATTGTTCTTGCCCCGTCAGCAGATATTTTTGCTTGCTTTAAGGAAAAACTAACAACATTTAGATTCTTTTTTTCAGAAAACAAGAGATAATATCTTAAGTAATTTTACTTGTAAAATAAATGCGTCTTGATTCAATAACTCTTAGATATTTATACTAGAAAACAACATTTTCTGCAGTGTTCTAGTGTTTGTTTGCAAGGCTATTCAAAATTTGAGATTTATATTCAGAGAACATTCTGAAGTATTGTGTTGTCTTCAAGTGCAGAAAATGTAAATAAATAGCTCTTGAAAAGGTGTTAAACGGAGCTTCATCAGTCCTTAAAGCAGCAGGTAAGAGACGCTCTGTTTTCTTCCTCAGACGCGACTGAAGAGCCGTCCTTTCCTCCCACGAACACCATCGGCTCTATCGTGGGTGTGCTGATGCTGCTGTTCGTGGTGGGCGCTGTGTATTTCGTGTGCCAGCGTGTGCTGTGTCCTCAGATGAAGGACGACGGCGAGACCATGACCAATGACTTCGTGGTGCACGGGCCGCCGCCGGTGCCTCTGGGATACGTGCCTCACCCCGGCTCTCTGAGCGGCTCGCTGCCAGGTGACAGGAACATCTGTGTCTTAATATCTAAACATTCTTGAATCAAGATGCATTTGTTTTGCAAGTAAAATGACTGAAGATATTATTGTTTTCTGAAAAAAGTATCACAATTTAGTTCATTTTTGCTTAAAGGCACGATATGTAAGATATTTGTTATAAAATATCCAAAAGCCACTTGTGCAGTGTGATATATTTCATGCAGTTATGTACTTGGGTTATCCCAAGGATTGGTAAATCCAGAGAAACTCGTATTTTAGATAATGACTCGTCCCTGTTCCTCCCTAGTCTTTCAATGACGTAATATCCGCACTATCCTCGGTTCATAGAAACTAAACTAAACTAAATCCATAATGGCTGTCGCGAATGACATGAAAGTGTTGACTGCAGCATTAAATTTAGATCTTTTTACAGTGTTGCACATTATAACCAATCACATGCGAGTCTGTTGAGTTTATGAACGCAGTGGCCAATCAGGTGTCCAGATGAGTCCTCATCCTCACCAGGTGAGTTTTGTTCAGTGTACGCGCTCGCTCTGCTCGCTCGCGAATTCTCTCGTCATAAACAACAAAGCGCAGATGTACGTATGATGCAAGAGATTCATTCATCAAACCGTGTATAGACAGCTTTACTGATTGAAGTGTTTTTGAGAGTGCTGAAGACTGTCAGTCATGTCCTTTGACAGTTTATATGTGTCCCTGCAGCACAAAAGCAGTGTTAAGTCGCTGGGGGATATTTGTAGCAATAGCCAACAATACATTGTATGGGTCACAATTATAGATTTCTCTTTTATGCCAAAAATCATTAGGATATTAAGTAAAGATCATGTTCCATGAAGATATTTAGTAAATCTCCTACCGTAAATATATCAAAACTTAATGTTTGATTAGTAATATGCATTGCTAAGAACTTCATCTGAACAACTTTAAAGATGATTTTCTCAATATTTAGATTTTTTTGCACCCTCAGATTCCAGATTTTCAAATATTGTCCGATCCTAACAAACCATACATCAATGGAAAGCATTTATTCAGATGTATAAATCTCAATTTCACAAAATTGACCCTTATGACTGGTTTTGTGCTCCAGGGTCACATATGTTCTTTGCTCGCTTTCTCTGTATAATTTATTCGCTGTTTGAATAACTGTGGAAGGTACAGGCAATAAAAAAATTATAATTACCTCATCCGTGAACATGATTCGTGAATTACATAAACGACATCTCCCATCATTCCTCTCTTCTTTACAGCGTCATCAAGCTTTGCCTTCGTTTTGTAAATGTGACCTCTAGCGGCGAAAACTTTAAAACAAGCACAAATATCTGCCAACGGGGCAAGAAAAATCATCTTGTTTAGCCTTTAAATTAAGATTATTTTTCTTACACCATTGGCAGATATTTTCACTTGTTTTAAGCAAAAACTAACAAAAATTGTATTTAAATGTTTTTTTCAGAAAACAAGACATAATATCTCAAGTCATTAAACTTGGCATGTTGATTCAAGAATGTTTAGATATTTCTACTAGAAAACAAGACAAAAATAGGAAGTCAGAATCATTTGTTGCAGAGTGCTGACGTGTGTCTCTCTCTCTCAGGCATGTCTCGTGGGAAGTCGGTCATCGGCTCGCTGAGCATCATGGGAGGCAGCAGCGGTCCTCCGTATGATCGAGCACATGTGACCGGAGCCTCGTCCAGCAGCTCCTCCAGCACCAAGGGTTCATACTTCCCTCCGGTCAGTCGCCCATAAATTCTGTGTTGAATGGTATAATACAAATCTTAGCCAATAGATGATCGCTAACGATCTGCTGTTGATGAATTATGACAATGTTTACTTTGTTTATATTCAAATGTTTTTATAAGATGCACATTTCATGATCTTCCTGTTGAAATGAGCAGCTGGAAGTAGTAAAGCAGTACGTTTACATTTAGTGATTTAGCAGACACTTTTATCCAAAGCGACTTAAAAATGATGACAATAGAAGCAATGAAAACCCACATTTCAAAATAAGAGCCCTGTGCATTTCAGGCTTGTTTATAAAAATAAAAAAGGTATAATTAAAACTGGATATTATTGGTATTTTGGTTACACAGTGTACTGTGTTTGGCATTTAATTTGATGTAAATTGTCTCTGGGTCGCCTGTCATAGGAAGGAAAGATGAAAAATATTATTTAACACATTATGAATATAGATTTTACTAGTATCAGCGCGACGATCTGCTTGCAGCATTATTGATAGACCTTTGATTCTTATTTATTGAGACATTAGTACATAAACTAACTTCAGTTCATACAGTATGTATATGTGAAATAAATATTCAGTTTATTATTATATTTATTGTTTTATTTTAGATTACAGGGTTCCTGCGGGTCCTTAAAGAGTCTTGAGGTCTTAAAACGGTTATATTTCTGCCGTTGCAGAAGCGCCTCTTGCTGGCAGAGAATGAATGTGCAGTTTGTTTTTGTTCAGACCAATGTGAAAATCAGCCCATGTTTCTACACGCAGAGCTGTAAATGTGAACCGGTGGATCGATTAGAAGATAATGCATTATACAAATCTAAACAGTAAAATGTTATTTGATTAATATAATATTGATAATTGTTTAAATTAATATAATAAATAATACTTTTGACTCACCCACTTTCTAAAATGCTTTCAAGGCTAAAATGTGAAGTGTATCATATTATAAAACTTTTTGTTTTCGTGAAAAATTGTTTCTGAAATCTAAATCAGTCATGTTAGAGTTTAATATGTTACTATAGACATTGCCCCACCCCGCTCATATGGTATTAATTTTATTTGTGCAGGTCTTTAAAAAAAAAAAAGTATTCAATTTGAGCATAAAAATCCTGCAGAAACCCTGGATTATTTATTATAATTGTATTAAATTTTATTTTTAATTCTGTGGTTGTAAATGTCAGCATCTTTTGTAATGAGACTTTTCTCTGCTATGATTCCAGATCCTGAATCCCCCTCCGTCTCCCGCCACAGTGAGGTCGCAGTATACGATGGAGTTCGGTTACTCGTCGAACAGCCCGTCGACGCACCGATCGTACAGGTAACGGACGGACACGCGTCAGGTGAATGTCCTGCTAGTGTTTATGATTCAGTGTCTGACTGGGAGTGTTTTGCAGCTACAGGCCGTACAGTTACCGTCACTTCGCCCCTCCGACGACGCCCTGCAGCACAGACGTGTGCGACAGCGACTACACGCCGGGCCGAAGGGCTCCGCACGCATCCAGCGCCGCCGCCAAGGGCTACACCAGCGACCTGAACTACGACTCGGAGCCGCTGCCACCACCGCCCACCCCACGCAGCCAGTACCTGTCTGCAGAGGAGAACTGTGAGAGCTGCCCGCCGTCGCCCTTCACCGAGCGCAGCTACTCGCACCACCTGTACCCGCCGCCGCCCTCGCCCTGCACGGACTCATCCTGAGCCCCGCCCACCGCCTCACAAGCCCCGCCTACCACAGTGTAAGCCCCGCCCTGCACAGACTCGTCCTGAGCCCTGCCCACTGCTGTGTAAGCCCCGCCCTGCACGGACTCATCCTGAGCCCCGCCCACCGCCTCACAAGCCCCGCCTACCACAGTGTAAGCCCCGCCCTGCACAGACTCGTCCTGAGCCCTGCCCACTGCTGTGTAAGCCCCGCCCTGCACGGACTCATCCTGAGCCCCGCCCACCGCCTCACAAGCCCTGCCTACCACAGCGTAAGCCCCGCCCTGCACAGACTTGTCTTGAGCCCTGCCCACAGGCTGTGTAAGCCCCGCCCTGCACGGACTCATCCTGAGCCCCGCCCGCCGCAGAAGCGCCGCCTCCAGCCCGAAGGGCTCCGCACGCATCCAGCGCCGCCGCCAAGGGCTACACCAGCGACCTGAACTACGACTCGGAGCCGCTGCCACCACCGCCCACCCCACGCAGCCAGTACCTGTCTGCAGAGGAGAACTGTGAGAGCTGCCCGCCGTCGCCCTTCACCGAGCGCAGCTACTCGCACCACCTGTACCCGCCGCCGCCCTCGCCCTGCACGGACTCATCCTGAGCCCCGCCCACCGCCTCACAAGCCCCGCCTACCACAGTGTAAGCCCCGCCCTGCACAGACTCGTCCTGAGCCCTGCCCACTGCTGTGTAAGCCCCGCCCTGCACGGACTCATCCTGAGCCCCGCCCGCCGCAGAAGCGCCGCCTACAGCAGCGTAAGCCCCGCCCTGCAAGGACTCTCCCTGAGCCACACAAGCCCCGCCTACCGCAGCGTAAGCCCTGCACGGAGTCACCCTGAGCCCCGCCCACAGCCGCACAAAGCTCCACCCACCCCACTGTAAGCCCCGCCCTACATTGACTCATCCTGAGCCCCACCCACCGCTGCGTACACTGTACATAATGATTTTCTTAGTAGTTTTGTCTTCTTTTCTAGTTCTTCTTGAATCAAGATGCATTTACTTGACAAATTAAATGACTTAAGATATTAAGTCTGGTTTTCTAAAAAAAATTATCAAAATATCTGCCAATGGGGTAAGAAAATTATCTATAATTATCTATAATTCAAAGGCCAAACAAGATTATTTTTCTTGATATTTTTGATTGTTTTAAGTGAAAACTAAATTTAATACTTTTTTCAGAAAACAAGACTGAATATCTTAAGCCACATTACTTGTAAAGTAATTTAATCTCGATTCAAGAATTTGTAGATGTTTATACTAGAAAACAAGACAAACATTTTTTTGCAGTGTAAGCCCCGCCCACTGCTGCGTAAGCCCCGCCCACAGCATCCGAGTACATATCTCCTACATTGACTCATCCTGAGCCCCACCCACCGCTGCGTACACTGTACATAATGATTTTCTTAGTAGTTTTGTCTTCTTTTCTAGTTCTTCTTGAATCAAGATGCATTTACTTGACAAATTAAATGACTTAAGATATTAAGTCTGGTTTTCTAAAAAAAATTATCAAAATATCTGCCAATGGGGTAAGAAAATTATCTATAATTGGCCAAACAAGATAATTTTTCTTGATATTTTTGATTGTTTTAAGTGAAAACTAAATTTAATACTTTTTTCAGAAAACAAGACTGAATATCTTAAGCCACATTACTTGTAAAGTAATTTAATCTCGATTCAAGAATTTGTAGATGTTTATACTAGAAAACAAGACAAACATTTTTTTGCAGTGTAAGCCCCGCCCACTGCTGCGTAAGCCCCGCCCACAGCATCCGAGTACATATCTGATGGCGTGATGACTCTGACACGTGGGCGTCTGTCTGGGGTCTGGCGGCTCTCTGTACATTTAAAAGAAAAAAAACATATTTATATATTTTCTATACAGTGTTTATTGGTTATGCCATAGAGCTTTGTATTAAAATTAATTTGTAAATTTTTTTTTTTAAGAGAAGATTTTATTAAAGCCACACAGACGTGATGCGTTGCCTTAATCCAGGAGTTTAGAATCAAACGTGTTCATGCCAAATAGATGGAGACGCCCGTCGCCCCCTGCAGGCTCGGAGCAGCAGCACACTGTGACCTGAAACTCAATGAGCCGCCAAACAAGATGGTACTCGTATTTTTCTACTATTTTTGTATTGGAGACGTCACGGATGCGGCCTCCTCTGTGCGTGACGAACTTCAGCGGCGCTTTAGGAAACGGGCGGGAAGTGATGCGATCCGAACCAGTCGAGCGAAAGCATCCCGCCGCCGCACGGCTCACAATCACGGACCACTTCTCGTGCCTGACCGTTTTTTACAAGACCTTGGAACCATTTTTCACTTTTTTTAAATCTCAGTGCACACAAAAGGTCAATTATTTTTGTACCATATACTGTGTAGATACTGTATTTATAAGCTATAAAGAAGACTCTTCATCTTCATCATCATGTCCTTGCAGTGCTGCTGTTCTGTTACGCCCCGCCGGTGAATGTGTGACAGTCCTGAGACAATCTGTGTGCGAGTGTGTGTGTGTGTGCGAGTGTGCACGATTGTGCGAGTGTGTGCATGAGTGTGTGTGTGTGTGTGTGTGAGTGTGAGCGTGTGTGAGTGTGTGCACGAGTGTGTGTGTGTGTGTGCGAGTGTGCACGATTGTGCGAGTGTGTGCATGAGTGTGTGTGTGTGTGTGTGAGTGTGAGCGTGTGTGAGTGTGTGCACGAGTGTGTGTGTGTGTGTGTGTGTGTGTGTAAGGACTCTTGAAGTTCCTCTAGTGTCTCCAGTGGTTTAGTTTCCCATAATGCATCTGTTTCTGTGTTTATAGCACTTCTTCTTGAGCTTTTATAAAGGGAGACTCACCAGCACAAACGTCCTGATTGTGTTGGTTTGTGTCACACGCTGCCTTCAGAGCGTCCTCCATGTTCACGACAGCAGCTTCGATTCAATCACGGATGTGTGTCAGAAACAGCTTTTCCAAATCTCTCCGCGTCCCAAACCTCCCTTTAATGGCCTGATCTGCAAGGGCTTCTGCGTAACGCCATGTTTTTAGTTCCTTTATGATTCTGCTCACACCAGCGTTTTTGTTTTCTTAACTGCACTTTACAGGACCGGTTCAGTGTGTGTGTGTGAGTGTGTGTGAGCGTGTGTGTGTGAGCGTGTGTGTGTGAGCGTGTGTGTGTGTGCGTGTGTGTGTGAGCGTGTGTGTGTGAGCGTGTGTGTG